CAAATATCAATACACCTGTGTGTAAAAAACAACAACTTTATAACATGCAACTGATAAATAAAATATTAACAAACAATTAGTAAAATAGAAAATATAAATTTTAAAAAGTAACAATTAGTCAAACATGAATCTACAAAATAAAACACAGAAAAGCCTCGTTAACATTAACTTGCTTAAGATGAACATTTACTTAACATGATCAAAATGTTGGTCCCAGCAGGGATCTATTATTCCTAATTAGACCCCGGTCAGCACAACTTTAAAAAAAATCTGAATTTTGTGGTGCCTTGAAGTTCATGTTAACATGAAAGATTATAATACTGTACAATACCTGAAAAATTAATCACAAAATAATTCAGATCACTTGAAAAGCTGCGATATTTAATCACAGTGTAAATGGTGGAGATGCTAAACCACTCAAGCGGTTGTGCACCAAGGACAGGGCTCATATTTGTCAAACCACTCAAGCGGTTGTGCACCAAGGACAGGGCTCATGTTTGTCAAACCACTCAAGCGGTTGTGCACCAAGGACAGGGCTAATATTTGTCAAACCACTCAAGCAGTTGTGCACCAAGGACAGGGCTCATATTTGTCAAACCAACCAAGCGGTTGTGCACCAAGGACAGGGCTAATATTTGTCAAACCACCCGAGCAAGTGTGCACCAGGGACAAGGCTCATCTTTGTCAAACCACCCAAGCAATTGTGCACCAGGTACAGGGCTCATATTTGTCAAACTACTCAAGCGGTTGTGCACCAAGGACAGGGCTCATATTTGTCAAACCAACCAAGCGGTTGTGCACCAAGGACAGGACTCATATTTGTCAAACCAACCAAGCGGTTGTGCACCAAGGACAGGACTCATATTTGTCAAACCACCCAAGCGATTGTGCACCAGGGACAGGGCTCATATTTGTCAAACCAACCAAGCGGTTGTGCACCAAGGACAGGACTCATATTTGTCAAACCACCCAAGCGATTGTGCACCAGGGACAGGGCTCATATTTGTGAAGCCCTATCCACACCTCTCTGCAGATATTACAGAAGAGGTTCCTAACTGCAGCCTGGCGGAAGTAGATAGGCAACTAGGTCTTTCTGCTAGAGTTTACAGCCGGTGAATGTGAAGAAGAGACTTACAGTAGGTTCCCCATGGGCAACCCAAGGATAGTTTTGTTTATGCATTAATTAGTCCTTAGACTCCAGAATAACTAACAATGACTGCCTGGAAATGAGTAATGAAAGTAGAATATTATATTCAAAAATGAGAAAGAGACAAAGTTTTTTGGTCATGTGATGAAAAGAAGAGCACTGGCAAATATGAATGACAACAGGAAAGATCACTGGTAGAAGAGGCAGAGGCAGACTAAGAGAAACGATGGTAGATGGCTTAAAACAGTGGCAGGGAGGAATATCATCAGTGGAATTGATCCAGAACACCAAGGATCCAGATCTGTAGAGATGCATGAACGCCTATGCCAGTTGTAAAGGCAACTGATGATGATGATCTATTAGTCATCAATGTACTTATATCAGCACCACAGGCAGACACAAGTTATGAACACTATGTTTTTATCTGTAACTGTTCTCAGTTGTTTGTTCTGACATAAAACCACATGCTATCTAGCTCTTATTCAGTTATGAATTTGTATTGATTCTTCTCTCTTTTTCTTCTTCTTCTTCCCGTTCACTAGCTGTAAACTCGGGTGGAAAGTTCTGGTTGTTCGTCCACTTCTGGACTGCAGTCCTGTTCTAGAACCTGAGTGTTGCGTGTGCATCCATTTTACAGATATGACTCATTAGTATGCAGACTGTTGGTTCCTTGCCTCTCAGGCAGATGCACTATGACTTTAAAGGAAGCTCCCAATTAGTCGACTCTCACGACATGCTTTTAGACAAACAGTGGGTCTATTCTTGTTTCCCTTATAATAGGGCTCCGGAACCCACAGGGGATTCTCTTATTTCAAATTCTTGTCTTGTTTGCCTTGCAGTTATGGCAAGAAATGAACAGAGCTCTCGCTCAGTATTTGAACTGAGTTATGTGGTATGTGACTCATCTACAGTTGCAAACAGACGTTCCACAAATTCCATAATTTCAACAGCTTATATGACAAAGTTTTCAAAGTGCCACTCTGGCACTTTTTACTTGACTACATTTTCAGGTCTGCTATTTGTCACTCTATATTACGCTAAGGCACACGTGGGAATTCTACTACAAATAGGTCAAACCAAAGTATTCCTTTTCATGCATCTACACTTTTTTAATTTACCATTCAATGTTCAAACACAATTTTCTCAAAACAAGGATGTGGTACTTAGATTTCTTTGGTGTACTGCCAATGATTTGTGACCATCATCCAAAATCTCACAACAAAACTGATCAATTTCTTGGGAGAAGACTGTTTCAGGTCTTGTTGAATATCAGTTCTGGGTCAGATCACTTAAAAAATTACTTGATATTTCAGTTCACATTTTGATTTTCTTCTTGAAATAATCCCTGATCACACATTGCTACAGAAAAGATTCTGAGTTGTATTTTAACACCGGTAGCACAATTATACAACTTTTCATGAGTTACAGCTTTTCATGAGTTACGGCTCCCCAAACAAAAGTGAAAAATGGTTGTAAACAACAGACAAAAAAATAATTCATAAACATGATAAGGCACAATGGATTCTAGAACATGATTATGCTGTTTTGATCGAGAGGTGTACAACTTTATGATGTTTTATTTCAATACTCGGAAATGGGAGCCATGATAGAACTGTGAATAAACACTTGTCTGCCGGGCTGAAGGTCTTGGTTTCAAATCCGTACCAGCCGGATTTGAGTTTAACAAAAAATTAACAAAATATGAACCAGAATATGTTCTGAGAGTAAAGGTGGCCTACATGATGTTGACTACACCATCCACTGAATCCTGAGTGGCTACAAAAATATGAGTCTGCCATCATATGCAGGTTGTGCCACATTTTTTCAAGTCTCAACATGACAAGAAAGAAAGAGACAAATCAATAATGAGACTGCTGCGAAGTAATCAGTTTCTAGGCAAAAAATTTATAACATCGAGGAAAAAATGAATATCTCAGCTGAAATGGCACAATAAATGGTATCATAAGATCCTGGAAGCACAATTATGGGCAATTTTTTTTTTTTATAAACAGTGGTGGCACAATTGGTAAAATAAATACCCTATTTTAGAAACAAATTTACAGAACTGTACAAACAGTTAGCTTTATTATGTTAGCCTCAAATGAAATTTAAAATTTACAGTTTGCATCAAATAAGAATAACAAGTCAATAAACATGTATTTAACAAGAGATTAACCCTCTCAACCTAGAAACACTTTGAGGGAAAAAAAAAAGTCATAATTTGGGAGAATCCCCCCCAAAAAAATTGAACATGTATATAAAAAAAAAAGGTTATGAATAACTTAGAAAATCAATTTACACTTTTTTGAAGAAAGGGAAATAGTCAATAAAACAACAACAAAATGGAGAAAATTAATAGAGTACACTCTACAGAGCTTAAACAAAATTATTTGGTTATTCATACCATGATCCCATTGCTATGCAACAGCTAAAGGCAAATTATGATGTCTTTACTCTCTGAGGCTCGAGCAACAATGTGTCTTGATTACAAAGTTTCGATTTGCCTAAACAACACTGTCTACATCGATCATATGTCCCGTACATGATTTACACATGGCTCCATATTCATTTCTATTCAGTATTCAGGGAAGATAACTCTAATTTTTGTGTGTATGTAAACAAGTCTATGTTTCGCAGACATGTGGGCGCAAACTGATCCGATTCATTGCTAGCGCAATTTTCAGACAGTGCATTTTTTTGATTTCGTGTAAGTGACCATGATTGCCGATGTTCTGAACACAGGCACAGGCCAAAAAATTCCCCTTTCTATGGCTGAATCTCTGAAATTGTTTCAGTCAGATATTTTCTAATGATGAAAAATTTGAATTGTTCTCAAAGTGATTCGGACAGTAAATGTACACCAGCGGCAGCTGAGAGGTCAGCTATTCATTTTGATGAGATAAATCCAGAAGGACCGATTTCATTTGCAAAGGATGTGATAGTCACCAACATCTACATCAAAAGGACTGTTTCGGACAGTACCGTATTCATGGTACCGCTAGGCTGCATTGAAATCATTGCAGCTACAGTCTGTATAAAACTACAAAGTTAATATTTTATGTGTATAGGACTACTAGTCAAAATTTCTGCCATTTTTTTTTTTTTTAATTTCACTGAGCAATCTACGAAAACCTAGGGTGAGTGATCAGCTAACCCAGAAACGTGTCATTAACTTTTGAATTTGTTAGGAAGCTGAACAAACTTTTAAGCTGTATTCTCACATTTGGATATTCACTGTGCTTGTGGCTACAAAACCATGGTAAGTGAAGATTTTTTTGTAAAATTTTGTCTTTGTAAATATAACTCCTGCTGCATTCATTTTTCCTACTAATTATAACTGCATGAAACATAAACACATCATCAGATTCAAAACGTACATTCATTCCTCTTTAAACAAATGTACACTTTTGCAGGGATTAGAAGTACATTACATTCTCAATAGCTGTTTTTTTTTTTTTTTTAACACCATCCTCTCTGCCATTTTTGCAAAAAGAAATTAATCTGAGCCAAGTCTGTCACAATTCATGGGCCTGAAAGAATTAATGACTTGAACATTTTTTTATTATTCCACAACTGGAAAACTCCCAAAATGCTATATTTTAGTATACATAATTTCCAGCCCTCCCAAACACTGCACAGGTTCAAACAGAACCAATGCCATGAACCAGGCTTATCACAAACTGGCCAATGCAGCAAAATCTACATTTACGTTTCACGGTAACAAGAGCTGAATAACTGGTGTCTCTGGGTGAAAGGATTAATATGCTTACTTTAAGTTCATAAAATTTAAAATAACAGCTTGTATCAAATAAAATCAATCAGCAGGTAGGTATTCAACAACAGCAGCTTAACCTCAGTTGGCTTGTCTTCTAGCATGCCTATTTCTTCTCTCTGTTGGTCGCCTCACAGGTCTCCTGCTGTCAGTGGGTGACAGTGTTTGCACAACTCTTGGTTCTGGAGGCTGGGAATGTTGGGTGAGTGTGGGAGCATGAGTTTTACACATGAGGACTCCTGTCAAAACAGGTATTGCTGCACCAGCAAAAGCCATGGCAAATCCCCAGGAATAATAGGCACCTCTGGACACCTCTTCTGATGTCATAATCATGAAAACAATTATGCCCAAAAAGCTAAGAAAACCTGAAATATTATAGATTCAGAAAAAAGTTATTTCAGCACGTTTTAAAATCTCCAGGCAGAAAACATTAATGGTGAAGAGAAAAAGATTATAAAACTTACACATACAGAGAACAAAATTATTTAAGAGAGAGAGAGAGAGAGAGAGATGTTTTAGAGGCAGAAAGGAAGACAGACAAAGTGAGTTTGCACACGCGAGAGAGAGAGAGAGAGAGAGAGAGAGAGAGAGAAGAGTGAGATGTTTTAGAGGCAGGAAGGAAGACAGACAAAGTGAGTTTGCAAAAGAGAGAGAGAGAGAGAGAGAGAGAGAGAGAGAGAGAGAGAGAGAGAGAGAGAGAGAGAGGAGAGAGATGTTTTAGAGGCAGGAAGGAAGACAGACATAGAGAGTTTGCAAGAGAGAGAGAGAGGGGGAGAGAGAGAGAGAGAGAGAGAGAGAGAGAGAGAGAGAGAGAGAGAGAGAGAGAGAGAGAGAGAGAGAGAGAGAGAGAGAGAGAGAGAGAGAGAGAGAGAGAAACTAGCCTTGATTCAAAATTTCAAAAGCAAGATACTTTACTGAGAAAAAGAAGAGGTATATTCAAAGACTTACACAATTTGATACACACATGATTTATTTCAAAAATAAATGTACCTGATATAAAGGCCAAGTCCTCTGGAGTTTCACTGTCCCTGTGTAGCAGCTGCTTCAACATCTGAATGTGAAGTCTTCGAAGCCAACTCCTTGGAGCAAAATTCTGAAGGCCTGCCAGAACTAAGGCCACAATGTAAAACGGCAAGGCTAAGCTCTGGCAAATGACGACAGTTAGGAACCAGTCTAAAAAAAATGTTCAAATGGTTATTTATAATGGGCTATATACATAAAAGCTATATAAATCCTATACATACTGGTGCGAATCATGGACAGTTTGTGAACAAGTGAAAACTTATTTTGAAGCTGCGGAGGTGTAGTTTTCCAGACGAATTATGAGAATACCCTGGACAGATAAAGAGAAATGAAGATGTCTTGATAGAAACTGGCTCATAAGGAGAACTGATTGCACACATTAGAAAGAGACAATCTACATTCTTTGGTCAGGTCATGAGAAGGAGAATACTGTAGGAATACGGTAGGAAAGTTGGAGGAAGGGAGATGCAGAGGGAGACTGAGAGAAAAGATGCTGGACAGTTTGACATATGGCATAGATGATCATCTATGTCAGAGCTGACTGAAAGTATACGAGACAGAAGGTTGTGGATAGACATGACTACCAATGCTACACGGCATGGACTCTAAGAAGAAGAAGAAGAATACAAATATAAAAGGTACTCATCGATTTAAACCTCACATCCTACAATATGCCAACAATGTCCGGTGGAGACGTGCACTGGGAGAGGTTTTTTGCCTTATTCTAGCAAGAGGATATGCAATCTGAAAACTCAATGTAATGGTAGGGCAGACCAAGCCTTTAGCAATGGTTAGGAGCTGGTCAATAAGGGAAACTGACAGGTTGAGATAAGAATTGACATCACAGCACTCGGGGCACTCCTATGTGTGCTCCGTCCTCATCTTAAGCAGCCAGCGCAGAGTTCTATTACTGACGCTACTTGTCACAATCTGGTTATATGTCCCTCTTGCCTTTCCTCTTAGTGTAGTGAGCCGACCAGACTCTTTGGTTTCACCCAGGGGCCTCATTCTCTCCAGGCCATAATAATCTTCTATCTCTACTGGTTCTGTTGCTTGTTTCTAAAGGGTCTTGACCACATCTGCCTTGTCATGGATCAATTCACCACCCAGGTTGTGCAGATCCAGCCAATCTGTCTGCCTGTTTATTACCCATTACGCCGGCATAGCCTGAAGAAAAGATTCAAAGTATGCTCACAAGTGTACTGACAGAGCACTGCTATTCTAATCTGGCAGCTGCTGCAGCATATTTAGTTTACTTGATTATCGGTGCACTTTACCTTTGCAATAAACAAGACATGCTGGTTAAAGGATCATGCAAGGGCGACACATAGTCTCTACAACACAGCTAAGGCACTGCGTGATGGACTGGAGGAACTTTATCTCTGGCTGTGATTTCTGTCTAAAGGCTGAATCTGAGAGGATTGACTTCACTGCACCAGGTTTAATCCCATATGGCTCGGTCTCTCACCGCATAATGGCTAGCCGCCTGCCAAAAGTGCAGCGCAGAGCATGAACTCCTTAGCTCCAGCAACAATCCCTATATGTACTCATGAACTGAAGGGTGCAGCTGCGAAACAAACACATGACCTTCAGAATGCGGGGCTAATAACTTAACCACTTCACTATGGTCACTCCCAAATTCCTGTACTCTATAAATAACACAATACAACATTACTCTCTGAAAACATGGAAAGGTGTCATCAGCATATCCACCATTAAAAACATGTCAACTGTAATGATAAAATTAGTGTTTAAGTTCTATACAAAACCTGCACTGATGTATGCCTGTGAAACAAGAAAACAAGCTGAGACATATCAAACATCAGTGGCTTCTGAAAAAAATTAGAGAATATCATGAACAGACAGAAATAAAAAATGAAGCATCATCAAGACACAGATAAAAACCACACAGGGATTACAGAAATTAAATAAAATGTGGACAGCCAAGATCTTTTGGACATGTTATGAAGCAGAACACTTGAAACTTCAAAGTTTAAATGAGTCTGTTAGCAATGTTACATTCTGGTAGAAGAAAAATGAGTTAAGAACCAATATGACATCACATGGGGTTTTCCAATTACTGTGTCTCCATGTTCAGCAGCCAGCACAGAGTTCCAAAACCAATAGTGTCAGTTGCAGTCTAAAATATATTTATCGTGCCTTTCATCTGTGCGCTGAACATCAGCCAGATCCTCAGGTCACTCCTCACTGCATCAGTCTCTCTACCTCCAGACCATAATCCTGTAATTGCTCTTTCAAAGTGTTCATGTGCCCCCAAAGATCCTTGATTACATCTGTCCTACATGAACCAATTCATCCCCAGTGGTGAAGACTCAGACTGTCTGCCTATTATTTCCCCCACAAACCAGCATGCATTGAAGAAAAGATCAGAAGAATGATTCCTGCCTGCCCCTCCCGAAGTATGCATGATGTTCTGCATGAAGCAAACTTGTCTTTATCTTTTTAAGCAGACTCTGAGAGTCCATATCATCATCATCATCATCACTGGCACCTTTCTGTCTATCCAGATGATAGTGTTATATTGCGCTATGAGGAGGCATGAGACTCACAGCCCATGGCGATGGCGAGTGTGACTAGCAAGACCAGCCCATGTCCCAAAAAAAAAGTCTTCCACAATGATAGCATGGGATTTCAGGACCATTTTTGTCAACATTTGTGTTTAATCTGTTTCTTTTCAGATGCTCAGCTTTCATCCTTTCTGCAATCATTTCTTCCTTCAGTCTCATTCCCTTCCTGATATGCCCTTTCCACACAACAGGGTCCATGGCATTCCCCCCCCCCCCAAGAGTCTGCCTCAATACCTGTATCATTCATGTCCCACTTGCACACATCTTTATAACGTAGTAGAGGTCGGCCTTGACATCTTGTACTTGTCTTCAATTCACCATAAAGGATGTCCTTAGGGACCTGCCATCCTCCATGTGTGACCCAGCCACCTGAGCCTTCGTAGAGTCAGGATATTTATGTGTTCTCTCTCCAGCAGAAAACTAAAATAACCGCTTCCTCCATGCTCAGATTAGATGCATCAGGCTTTCTTGCATTAACACTGTTATCTGTTTTCACCATGGACTCCTACGCACTTTTTTTTTGCCCACTTCTGCAATAGACAATCTACATTCTTTGGTCATGTCATGGAGTAGATCGCGACAGTAAAAAATCTGGAGGAGAAAAGAGGCCGAGAGAGAAAATACTGGGCAGTTTGATATTATGGCATGGAAAAGCATCTGAGTTAGAACTGACTGACAGTACATCAGACAGAAGGTTATGGACAGACATATACCAATAATCTGGCTACCAACGCCACGGATTATAATTTATAAGAAGAATGTAGATTTTATGTTTAACATACCGTTAACAACCTGGTTTCCTGTCAGCGGATTACTGGTGCATATATAATTCAGGCATAGCTCCCACAGGCCAAACCGTCCGTTGATTTCTGTTCCGTTGTCCCCTATCTGACTGAACCACAACCAATCTGGTGCCGAAAACCCCAGCAGAAAGGGGAGGATCCCAACACCCAGGGAAACGATGCAGATTTTATACGGTACGCCGCGATGCGCCCAAATAGTGTCCATCTTTATGTGGGCATGTATAAGCAGGTATGTACACACGAAGCAAACCAGGGAAAAGGAACTAGGGATATTCGTCTCTACGAATGTTCACTTTATTTTCAGACAACTCATCCCAGCTGGGAGTACCAAGAATACAGTACACATCCCCTTCTGTGTTTACCGGAAGTTGCTGTGTTGCACTAGATGCACTCTATTTTGGTCACGTGCTTATCATCATCATGTGGTGGTTCAGACGGTGTGTCAGTCAATTTAATTGGGTGCCGTTAAAGAAAGGGAATTTGGGGGGAAAGGGGGGGCGGGGGGAGGGGGTACTTCTTTTGATCCACCCACAATAATTATCTGTGGGGGGGGGGGGGGGTAAGGGGATCAACACATTCAACCTCACCCACACAGAACCTCAGGTAACATGGGATTGATGTGGCCGTTACATGGGGCATAGTTACAATTTCTTTGGAGGTTGGGGGACGGTTGGGACTGTGCCATCAGTGTAGGATTCTTTAGTCTCAGTGTCAAACCTTCAGATCCTGTTGGTTTGCAGTCCACATCGAGATCTACAGCAGTCGTTGGTGTAAAGTTAAAAGTCGGCAGATGTGAACCAGCTTCATTGCGCACGGTTATAAACCATAATTGCTCTGCCACCAGTACAGACAGCTGATAAGAAACTGCCTGTCTGTGTCGCCGTCCACACGCAACTCCGTAGCTACAGCGACGTTCCTCTGTTTACCCCAGAGTGTTAACTGTCATAGTAGCAAAGGCCGGCCGCCCAGGTGTGGTTTGAGGTGTAGTATAAAGGAGAACGTGTGACAGAGGGGTGGGTATGTTGCCATAGTGTTAAATGTTTGTAGTTTAGGGAAGGTTTAGGTTGTAGTAAAAATAAAAACTCTAGCAAAAGGGCGGCTGATATGACGTATTATTGGATGCCGACCGCTCAGTGAGGGTTTGATAAGTAATAAAAAGCAGAACATACGCCAGAAGGGCCGGTGTCTTGTCATAATGTTAGATGTTGGTAGTTTAGGGAGGATTTAGGTTGTAGTAAAAATGAAAACTTTAGCGAAATGGCGGACATTGGGATATATTAATGGAGGCCGGTCGCTTTGGGAGAGTTTCATTTGAAGTAAAAAGATGAATCTATGGCAAAACGGCTGCCGTTGTGGCATATTAGCGAATGCCGGCCGTTTAGGGAGAGTTTGCTGTACTGTTAAGACAGAACCCGACACTATGACACAAAGGTCACCCTTTTGCTATTTTTCCCCCTACAACTTAAACTACCCATGAGTGGCCGGCGTCAAAAAGTATGTCACAGCAGCCGCCGTTTTGCTTTAGTTTTTATTTTTACAGCAACTCACTCCCTCTCTGAACTAACAAAATCTAACACTATGACAAGAAACCCGCCCTTCTGTAGTACGTTTTCCTTTTTACTACAGCCAGCAAGACGGCAACGACAAGAAATGACTGAATGGCCTCCCGCCCCCTTTCCCCTCACCCTTCCCTAACTTTCGGATGCACTATGAGTTTAAAAAACCCCCCCCCCCCCCCCCCCCAACCCATTCCCACAGAGAGCACTTGAGTTCGTTACCCAACATGCCACAGCAATTCTCATCGCCGAACATTTGGATCTCAAAGCGTGAGCTGGATGCTCCGGTTATATGGTATTTACGTACACTGGAGCTTAGCTGTCAACACAACCCGATCACATAATAACAGATGACGACTGGACCCGCTTAAGACTCCACGTAAACTCTCACATACATATCCATTGCATGACTAACCAGTTCATATTACAGGAAGACAACTATAAGACCACTATGGTCACACGCGGAACATTTTCACATTTCGGAACTATTCCAATTCAAAAACTGTTTTCAGTACTTTTTGGAAAAATTTAAATACTCAAAATTGTAAAACAATAAATGGTGGTCCAAAGGACGTTGTGTATGGAAGCTCGCTCTCCTTCGAGATACGCCTAGCCAGATCAAAGGGAGACAGAACAAACAGGAAACACCAAGAAAAAAAGAAGGAAGACATGCACCAGTGACAACAGGACGAGCGGTTTGATTCGAATGGAAGCATCAAACCAGAAATGGCACAAACACTAAAATTCAGTCACGAAAGTGACGCAAATAACCCAGACCACAAATATAGGCGGAGACTGCTAGCAGCCTAGGCTAGCTAGCAGCAGTCTGAACGTGGTCGAGCTTTTTTTTTTTTTTCTCCAAAAGGACTTGGACTTGGACAAAACCGATTTCTATCAATTATCCATAATTTTCAAACAAGTGGAGTTTAGCAGTTAGAGAAAATGAAAATAAGTTCAAACGTTTACGACTTTGTTTTCAACAAGTGACATGTTTTGTGATGATGTTTTGAGATATACAAAACATATATATTTGTCAAAGAGAGATTACTTTCTGTATGACTACATAACACACTAACAAATGGCACCATCTGTAATTACACGTACACAAATATTTACAATGCAGAGCAGGCAAACAATACACTACACAATACATTTGCCATTAGAGAAAAGAAAGAAGAGAAAAAGATAAAGCCTTAAATTTTAAAAAGATACCTATAGTTAAGTTTTGCTTTCCTATGATTATAAATTGTATGTATGTATGTATGTATGTATGTATGTATGTATGTATGTATGTATGTATGTATGTATGTATGTATGTATGTATGTATGTCTGTCTGTCTGTCTGTCTGTCTGTCTGTCTGTCTGTCTGTCTGTCTGTCTGTCTGTCTGTCTGTCTGTCTGTCTGTCTGTCTGTCCCTGTCCTTCTGTCTGTCTGTCTGTCTGTCTGTCTGTCTGTCTGTCTGTCTGTCTGTCTGTCTGTCTGTCTGTCTGTCTGTCTGTCTGTCTGTCTGTCTGTCTGTCTGTCTGTCTGTCTGTCTGTCTGTCTGTCTGTCTGTCTGTCTGTCTGTCTGTCTGTGTGTGTGTGTGTGCGTGCGTGCGTGCGTGCGTGCGTGCGTGCGTGCGTCCGTGCGTGCGTGCGTGCGTGCGTGCGTGCGTGCGTGCGTGCGTGCGTGCGTGCGTGCGTGCGTGCGTGCGTGCGTGCGTGCGTGCGTGCGTGCGTGCGTGCGTGCGTGCGTGCGTGTGTGTGTGTGTCTGTATGTATGTATGTATGTATGTATGTATGTATGTATGTATGTATGTATGTATGTGTGTGTGTGTGTGTGTGTGTGTGTGTGTGTGTGTGTGTGTGTGTGTGTGTGTATGTATGTATGTATGTATGTGTGTGTGTATATATGTATGTATGTATGATTATTGAATTAAAAACATGTGTGGTTTTGCAAAAACATACGAAATACTTATAAAATGCAACATGTGTAAACCGACGTACAAATACTTACAACGCAACACATGCAAACTATATACTGCACACACATGTTTGTATTAAAAAAAAAAAATGATGAATCAAAAGAAAAAGTACCCAAAAAAAAAAAAAAAATACAGATGGCGGTTTGTTGGAAAAAAAAAGAAAAAAAAATTAAATGAAAAAAAAAAAAAAAAAGAAATTACAGTTTGTACAGAAAAAAAAATCAATAATAAAAAATAATAATAATTTAACACTAGTTAGCTGCTTTGATTCTTATGGACCGTTATTTAAACAGCAACAAATACATGTTCCACGGGAATGATCAGTCAAATTAAAAAATAACTGTACTTAATATTTCTATCAAAATGCAAAAAAAAAAAAACAAAATTAATGACACCTAGAAATATAAACAACATACAAAATGAGAACTGTCAAATGTTACGTAAATTTAATACTTCTGTATGATGGAGAAATTCAGACAATATACAAGCAATTAGAAAGTTGCGCTGAATTAAACACAGGAGAAGATCGTGTTGTATGAATGGTCTGTCCCGCATACAATGAAGATTAATAACCAGATAAATAAATAGAATTATATCCCCCCCCCCCCCCCCCCAATAAAGGACGCAATTTATTCAGGTTTTGAATCTCTTACCTGGCTGCCCGATTCCAATTCCTTAAAAAAAAATCCACCACCTTTAACCTGCTGTCAGCTAGCTATGGCTACCAATGGTCTCCGGTTATATTTGTGGTCTGGTAAATTTGCGCCACTTTCGTGGCTAAATTTCTGTTATTTGCGCCATTTTCTGGCTTAGTCAACCTGGGTGTCGTCGAGGACCCTAAATATAACCACTACCTCTTTAGCTTCATCTGAGGTCGCGTTATAAACTATTGGTTGAACGGGGTTTCCGTGACTTGCGACCGAGCGATTATTATCCGAATGGTGACATTTCGTGTCATGTCATCGGGCGTTTGTCACATGTTCAGTGTTTTCCATTTTTGGGGGACAGAAAACATCTAGAAACGGTTCCTAAATATATAGTATATCCAGATTTGCGCGAGGAAAACCTGTAGAAAAAACATCCCAATGGAACAGTAACAAATTACACAGTATAAGATTTTGCTTACTTTAAAGAATCATGTCATCATCTTCACCGATGTCTGTCTCACAAGATCCACAGGATAAACTTAGCTTGAATGATGAAGTTGCAGCTTCAGATCCAAAATGACTCTGGTATGCTTTAGCTGTTCCAACTACTTTTAATACACAACCAGGGAGCTGATAAGTTGAAAGCATTTTCCTACTCTCATCAGGCCAAATGTTATTGTCAAGATAGCATTTAAGAGGTCAAGTTTCATCCTATTTCTTAGGTTAGAATTGATATAAATCATAACACTGAAAACTCTTTCTACGCCAGCATTTGAATGCGGTGGTATGACAGTCGTGGCACTGTTGCGTGCTGATTTGGGAGAGTGTAATATTGTGTAAAGGGACAAAGTGGTATGATAGTACTTTCCAGGAGTTCAACTTGAATATTGTCAAAATTGGCTCGAGTATTAAGGGGGAGAGAGAATGTTGACCAGTGAACATGTATTATCACTAACGAGGCATGCACGCACGTGGAAGTAGATGCGGGGCTACTTTGTGGGGGCTGACAAGCATGGATAACAAGACCCGCAGAGAAA